TCTATCGCCTTAATTGCATTAAAGATATGTAATAGCAATGTCATCAACAAACATTCACACGAGAAAATAAACATTAACGTGAATATAAAATCGTGTCTGACTTTTTTTAACAACGGTAGATACTTACTGGATGTTAGGTGTTTACCTAAGTATATTTAGAAGTAATAAGGTATAAAATTAATCGTCAAACATCAGACGATAATGAAAATGTAAGCAGTAGTTTTTCGTCGTCATCATTAATTTTGCGCGTTCAAGTTCAGCGAAGAAAAGAATACGAAGACTTACATTGATATCCGACTTAAATCTATTGATCTTCAAAAGTAATCCATCAAACTAGTCATATTTTTGCCAAAAAATAAACATTCGAACTATCTAGGTTTATTTTTTCCGCACCTAACAAAAACAGAACACAAAGTTTTCAATTATTCATCTCTATCCCGTTTTCAACAAACAATCAATCTCTGTTCTCGCATATATGACGGATATTTCGAAAAAACTAGGTCAAATCAATACAATATGGAAACCTGTATGCCACGTGGTCTAAGCCGAACAGCGTATAAGAAGGATATTTGATATTTGTTCTCGATAATAATAGTAACAGTATGTAATCTATGGTCTGTCGGTAAAGTTGGTTAACTATAAAACAATCTTGGTATGTCTTTTTTAATTAAAGAGGTCGGAGAAAATACATATAAAGGATATTCAAATTTAGTTGGTGAGCTAACACTGATTTAGGTAAATACCTGATTGTAAACATTTTCACACACAATTTTTAGACAACTTTTTGATAAAAAATTACAAGATGTCAAGAATAATTTTGCCATATCAATAATACATTTACTTGATTATAGATGAAAATATTTTTAAAATGTTTCCTACTTCGAATCCAAAACTACTGAACCACATTACTACCTAACTTTCAGGGATTAAAATAGCCTAATTTTTATCTAAATATTTCAAGATTTACTAGAGTGAATCTCCAACTTCCTAGCACACGGAAAACTATAAGAGAAACAAATTGTTCATAAACAAATAACAGTGGTTTTTGGTTAACCATAAGTGTAGTTATTTTAATAACTTGAATAGGGCAACACCTCAAATGTAACAGGTTCTTATTGCGAGCCATGAATCTATTGAGTATTGAGGTTTACAACCTTTTTACGAGCAAACCGCCATTGTAGTAACAATATTTTGTACGTTATTTTATTTCAGCAAGCACAAAACAAACTGTGTGTGTCACTTGCTTATGGAAATTTATTCATTATATTGCTAACTGATTGGTTTGTCAGTACTGGGTAATAGATTGAGAATTTCATTCAGGTCAGCTAAAATATGATGGGATTTTTAACCATACACATCATCGGCCTATAAGTGCCCACTGCTGAGCAAAGGCTTCTTTATCACACGAAGAAGGTTAGAGCATTAATCGCCACGCTTGCTCAATGCGAATTGACGATTTCAAACTTATAATTCGAAATTATAAGTATAGGTTTCCTCACTACCTAGTAGTTTTCCTTCACCGTATGTCAGTACTCTATGTCCGCTAAGCTTTATTAGATACCTAGGTACTTACCTAGTCATTTTATAGAATCGTCGAATAAATTCAAAATTAGAATCGATACGTCAATCCGTATTTTAAATGTAAGCATTAATCAACAACCAGTGTTATAGGTACAAGTTCTAAAATTAAATTTTCAAAACAAGACGAAAATAAAAAGTAAAAAAATCTCAGTAGGAACGAAACGTGGCATTTTTGTTCCCCCACGCGTACTTACAATAACTTTCGCTAACAAAGTGGTACATAAGTACTCAAAGTACGATCGTCTTTAATTAGCTGCTTGATCCAGCTGGGTGTTCTCATAGCTTCACGCGCGTTGCCGCGGCCCAAACGCTATATTAGTATTCCGTACATTTGTATGACTAACACATATACATAATATAATCCCTCACTGTGTTCTGTGGAATGACGACTTCGTTGACCTCTGACGGGTCGAGCCATTTTTTGTTGAATGTCTCTTACGATGGTTGTAGCTTTACTTAGCTGTTTGCAGCGTTTTCAGTACTAAGTGATCGCATTCATGTTTGTTATGGCCAAGAATTTTAGTATCAGCTATGCGTCCAGCACGTCGATTCTATAAAATTTGTTTGATTTTGAATCGTGTTCGAGTGCGAAGTGAGCGTCGAAGTGACGGGTAAAATAAATTTTTGAATGCCACTTTTAACGTCATTTCATATTTTATCTTTCAAAATGATGCTGTCAATTTAGTTCAACTCGCAAGTGTAGCGCTAGTGTACTACTACTTACGGCGGATTCAGATTCGAAGTTTAGAATGAAGTCTTACAGAATCACACTGCCAGAATAGACACACAGGCACAATATTCGCACAATAAAAAAGTATTGAATAAAACAGATGTTCATAGCTGATACAACAGAATATTTAATATCAGCAATCAGTTCGCTGATCTCGAATTGAAATGTTACCTAACCGCCACGTAATGTAGGTAACCTATTGTTTCTAAACGCAACAGAGGCAGCGATTGCAACAGCTGATCGTTTATCTGCTAAAAATCTCACGACACTCGTGCAATTGCAAGGTCGTAGTAAATGTTGATGTGATCAAACCGGTTGTAATGTATCGTCGTGTTACATACAGCCCGTTGAAATAAATCAGTCGGCTGCATTCTAAGAATATTTAACTTTGCTCCCTCTTTCTTGCACTGGGAAACGATTATGGGTCATTCTTTTGTTGGTTTTTTTAAGGGAACTTCTCTTTGTATTATTTCTTTTACCACGTGTTGTGTGCAGATGTGCAATTGTGCATTGCATTATTACGGTACCTATCTACAAAGAGTTGAGGGATGTCCATGGCCATATTATTGTATTACGTACATTTTGTTTAAATTCCTAACGTCATTTCTAGAATTTCGAATACCTATCTAATTAATCTGCCTAACTCGGTTGCCGCAATCTTAGACCTATGTCACTTGTCAGCTGTTGAACATACTTATTATAAAAACCGTAAGTACAATTCGCAAAAACAGATAGATAGATAACCTTTTATTAATTTGAAGGTCTAACAGCAGCTTATTATTCTAACACAAATAAATATTGACACCGCTATTCATCTCGACGCTGCGAGGCCGGGTTTGGTCAAGTCGGACAAGGCTAATAGAAATTTGTTTGAAATTCTCATGAATGGAAAACAATGTCAATGGCCCTAGCACATTATCACCATTATGGCTTTTTGTGGCCGAAACAATGGCAACTTTCGTTTTTGGCCGTGTGACTTATTCATACATAATTGGAGTGGCAATTTTTTACTGATTGTGTAATAATTCTTGTTTAGTTTTAATTCGCGTGTTAGATATTAAACTGTTGACTCTACTGCAAATACTGCCTACATTATTATAACCCGATTTGAACAAAACAAACATGACACAACAGACAAGAATTCTATCATCATCAATAAAATTGCGTTGTTACAAAACCTCACCTGTTTATATAAGGAGAACGACTCTTGAATTAATAGCATAAACAAGAATGGGACCTAATACAAACGTCACGTCTCTGGAGGCATTTGTATAACCTTAAGGAAATAAAGTGTAATAATCAAGAGGAATTATTCACGACGGCAAACACTGACATCATACACAACACGATTAGTGTGTCATGGGCAGAAATTACCTAAGTGTACCAGGACCCGTTACTGAATAGATAACAAAATGCAACGGTGCATTCTGCGCCCTCGTTTTCCAACAGGCGACACCGTGTCAACTCTGTCAGATAATTATGTTAAACTCGTGACGAGCTTATGTCATGTGTGTGTCGTGTGTCAAGTGCCACCAAATTACCGTCGATTGCCGTGAGAAGCATGCATTGTGGAATTGTTTTTGTCAAATTGATGCGGCAGTCACGATACATTTCAAAGAATAGGAAAACGTTAAGAATAGCGCCGTCTGTGACTAAATTACAATAGGATCCTATTTCTTATTAAGTACAAGTAAATAGAGGCTACATACTTCGGAAGCCGCATAAAACGCTTGAGTAAGAGTAATTTAATGCGTTCCGATAGTCGAGACCGTCCTTTACTCGAGCTGTGTGTATAAATAGGAGATTGTATTGTAAAACATGTATTGAACATTAATTTATGTGATCTTAGATCACTGTTTGAATAGCTGGTTACGCAACGTCTACCCTTTGAGCTTGGCTTACGACGAGGCGCCGCTTAAACTAATTCCAGGAGTCGCTGTTACCCGCTCCCTTTGTTCCTTTTGTTATCTTATCTGAGCCGGCTAAGCTCGGAAGCTTTATATATCTATCTATTATCTCGACGGAAAGCGTGATGGATTGCGGAAGGAAACATGTCGACGAGACGTTATTGACGGACGAAAATCGATTAGTGAACGCCGTGCTGCGGATATTCATCGCCAGCAGCGGGTGATACAGTTTGATAGATGTAAGCACGATCACCGCTGTTATTGCGGCGGATACAGCGCGCGTGTAATGCCCGGCGACAGCGTGCAGATGTGTGCACTTTCACCTCCGCCCTGTTCAAATGTATCGCATGTGATACGACCCGCATAGTGTCGTAATGTCCCTCTGGGGATAGCGGCCGCTGGTAATTTATTACGCAGTTAACGGACCTGATGCATTGTGCTTATTAACTCGCTTAGACGAGTACAGCGGCCTTTTTGTGAGCGACGTTCAATGCGCGTCTGAGGACGGTTTCTAAGCTCGCGGCGGCCTACATCGCTGTAGTTTCAGCAGCACGTACTGACATTGCTGGTGGACGTGACACTATCTACGCTTTCGCTGTCTCGGGCTCACGTTTACTTAGCCGTTTGTGTTAAATAGTCGGGAATGTATTAAGACGTCATGGGTGTGACGCCGGTGCCGGTGGGGCGGCGTCGCCGGTCGTCGCCCGGCATCGATCGCGCTGTTTGTAAACATTGCAGCTCGAGACACGCAAGTTGAGGGGTATCAGGTGTAGCGGACTTACCTGTACAGTTTGCACGTTGTCCTTGTCGAGCAGGAACTCCATGGACTTGTGAGGGCGAGGAGTGCGCTGGTCGGGAGGGGCGAGCGCGAGCAGCGAGCGCGCGTGCAGCACGGTGCGCTGAGTGTCCACATCGGTCTCCAGCACGCCGGCCGGCGGCGCGGGCGGCGGGCGCGGCCGAGGCGGCTTGTGCGCCACGCCGCCCGCCACCGGGGGTGCCGCCGCCCGCGACACACCCTCCTCCTTCAGCGGGATACGCACATACTGCGGCCCGGCGGCCGGCCCGCGCGGTACCTGCCCCGCATCTGCCGCTGTCGCCGTGCCGTTCGTAGGGGGTCGTATATTCGCGCCTGCGCCCCGTGTCTTTTTCTCCTTGCGCCCCGAGAACCTGAAGTTCGCGAATCGCGAGAGGAAGCCGGCGATGCGGCTGCGCGGCGCGCGCGCGCCCGCTTCCGTCATGGCGGCAGCGCGCTCTGCGGCCGGCGCGCGCGACTCCGCGCCTTCCCCCTCCACTACTACCACTTCGGCGTCGTCCGCGTCGTCGCTTGCGGTTGTTTCGCTCTCAGTGGTGCTTGTACTTGTTTCGCGCCAGCTGACTTCTGCCACTACTGGCGAGAACGTCACTCCTTTGGAGCCAGCAGACACGGAGCGCACGGGAGGCGCGGCGTCTGGAGGGGGAGGCGCTACTAATTGTAGTGACGCACGAAGTTCTTCTGGCGTTTCTCTATGTGGGGTTGCTCGCGAGCGCAGCTCAGGTGTAGATCTCACTCTAGCATCGCATGATGATCTTAGTGGCGTTGAAGTGAACACTGGTTCTCTAATAGGGTCTGGCGATGGCGTTCGTGGTGGGGAAGGGGAGGGTGACGGCCCGTCTATGCGCCGTCGGAGTTCATCTAGCACGTCATCCCAGGCGCCCCACGAGTCGTGTAGTCGTCTCGCTGTCATCACGGACAGTTCGCGATCGTAGTTTTCGCTGTCAGCGAGCGCTCGCCGCGCTGTCTCGTCCAGCCGGCGCGCCGTCGCCTCCATTTCTCTCGCGAAAGCACGCTCTGATTCGGTGGTAGAGTCGCTGCTGGCGCTGGGTTCCCGAACCGGGGACTCGGTTGGTTGTCGAACAACCTTCTCGACGGGAGGTGGCGGGGGTGGTACATTTCTGTTCATCCGAGGGGGTGGCGGTGGGGGCGGCAGTCGCGGGCGCCGCGGGCCGCCCCTGTAGTCGAGGGCGGTGAGGTCTGCCACGCTGACGGTCAGACTGTCTGATACTTCGAAGGTTTGCCTGAAGCGGGCTCGATGCGCGGCGTGGCGTCGCGGCTCGGCGCACACGTCGAGCTCGGCGGGGAGCGAGAGAGCGCGCGCGGCGCGGGGCGGACGGCGCTCAGCACTGGGCGACGCGACGAGGCAGGGCGCGCTGCCGGCCGCCGCGCGGTGCGCTATTTCGGGCGGGCGGCACGCCGCCGGCGGGGGCGGCCGCCGCGACCGCTCGCTGTAGCCGCTGTCTTCGCTGAGGTTCTCGGCAGACAGATGGGTGCGTGGTGCTGGAACACGTGTTGGCGGTGGGGAAGGCGGAGGTGACTCCAGGGAGTCGGGCGAGAGGCTTGGTGAGGCGGGCGCTGCACAAGATCTCTCCAGAGACTCGAACTGCGCGAGGCTGGAGGAACGCGAAAGCGAGCCCGAGCTGGCGGGCGAGGTGGCGCGCTCGCGCCGCCTGCGCTTCGCCGGGCACGCCCACTCGCGCTCTGACTCGCTGTCGCACTCCGAACCTGCTGAAAGAGTACTCCGTCAGGAACAATACACGTTACACTGAAGATTTACTGAAACGCGGCACGTCGCCACGTCCGGACGGCGACAATGACAATGACATCGTATTGAAATCTGTATTCTTTTTACTAGTTGGACTGGTTCCAAGAGATATGTAGGATAACATTCAATGTACTTGCCAAAGCCGGTCTAGACACAATGAAGGACTCGAGTCTAACATTTATATTGTTGACATAGCGAGTATAAAATGTTCAATTACCCTAATGCTTAAAGTTTAGTTTAGCGCCATCTATGTTCAATATAAAAAACTATTAGTGTAGTAGCCGCCGTACTCGTTGTACATATTACTTCTACTACACGATAGATGGCGCTTCAAACAGTTATATTTTTAGAATATTTGATATTATTTAAATACATTTACTAATTTATAATTACCTTGAGTCCCTCGCACATGAATGACAGAATCTGCATCTGAATCTGATAGCCATGTTGCGGCAGAGGAACGTTCAGAGCGCAAATCATCACTGGTTTCCTCGACTATGGTTTCGAGGTATAAAGCGTGAGTGCTGCCATTATCACCTGCAAACAAAAAATATTATTAAAAACTGACTCAGTAATAGGTCAATTTAATCAATGAAATAAAACAAATTACTATTCAAATTCCACGAATGGTTTAGTTCATCCTACTCGATACTAGAGGGCGCTGTAAGTCGAGTTAAAATTGAGTTCAAAGTACCTATCTACGGTAATTTAATTTATTACAGTTCTCAATTACTACCTATAACATAGTTTTAGTTTGTTCTAAAATATACATTTTAAACCTATAATAAATATATTTATATTATACCTATTGAAATATTATATATTTGAAAAACAAAATGCATTTTGTTGCGTAGTACCTACCTAATTTGTCGAATCCGTTTACATTTTCTAATATAAAAAATTGATTACAAAATCAAAACAATACAATTTTACGGTGAAAACATAATTGAAAAGTTATTTTAAAATAGGAATGCTGAGTATTTTCACGCTCCAATTGGATTCCGCTCAACAAAACCGTTGTTAAACATTTATAACTTATGAAGTACACAACAGACGATTGTTATATGTTAATGTACTTATATAAATGAAGATTAATTTCGGTACTATATAAACTGGAGAAGGTTATTCTAGGTACTATCTCGTCACTCAATTAGTCGCACGTGGCAGTAAAGCCAAGAACTAAGATATTTCTGGGACGTGCAAAGAACAGAACGATTTTATTTTATAGTACGCCGCGCATACGGATCACCTGATGTTAAGCAATCATGGACAATGGCACAACAAATGCGTAACTAGCCTTTTAAGAACTTGGGATTGGGGTTTTGGAAGGATTTTGAGGGCCTCTGTAGCCGCAATTACATAGAGAAACAACATATAATATATAGTACGGAGTTATAATTTAAGCACAAATTATCCAAATAATCCGTCGCGTATTATTTATGACAGTTTCTCGTACGGAACTTAAATGGTTACAAAATGAATCATTTTTTTTATATATTAAATTAGGTTCAACTATGACATGCTTGTGCCAAATTCTTAATAGAAATGAATAGAAAAAAAAGTAACGTTAATATATTTTGTCTATGGTAAGCTAGAGCTAAAAACATTATGTTGCACTACAATGAAACTTTCTCTCGTTGCTTCATTTATGTGATGTAACTATTTTGATACAATCTGTTAGAATACATAACAACAACACTTTAATAAATACTTATAATTATTTTTTACGGAGCTGTTATTAAATTAGTATGTACTTAGATATTAATCTTTTGTGGGATCGGTTGGTAGACAGATAACCTAGTAACCGGTAAGCAATCGGCGCCGGACATAGACACTAGCAACATTGAGGAGTTACAAATACGTTGCTGACCTTTCGAGGTTTAGGGTTCTGAGGATTGTAGCATATTAGTTGGGAAGGCAGTGTAAGGATTGGGCATGCGGTATCATCATCATCATCGTCAGCCTATAAGTGCCTACTGCTGAGCAAAGGCTTCTTCTCATACGGAGAAGGTTAGAGCATTAATCACCGCGCTTGCTAAATGCAGGTTGGCGATTTCAAACTTATAATTAGAAATTATAAGTCCAGGTTTCCTCACGATGTTTACCTTCACCGTATGTCAGTGGTGTCTAAATAATCGTAGAAAGTACATATAAGTCAGAAAAAGTCACATTGGAACTTGCCAGGTTTTGAACACACACCCTCATGTATGAGAAGCAGGCTTCTTAACCTCCGGGCCACCACGTTGTATGTTGTAGGTAGGTCGGCAACCGAGTAGACGGATTACCTGATGGTTGTGGTAAAACAGAGGGCAGAGAAGAGATGGCACCGACCAAAGTACATTAATATTAGTTATTATAACATTTTATACATAATAAAAATAACAACGACTTAATGTTTACTATAATTCTCTTTTCTTAACGAACAACATCGCGTAAAATATTGATAAAAATATTTTTTTATCGTATTTTATTTGACATGAATAACTTGAACTCTAAACTTGATACCTAGAAAATTAATCGCTAGGTCAAGTACACAAGTTAGACGATGTTTAATCACACATTGTGATTATTGTAGTTTATGTAATAAAATAAGTAAGTAAATGTTACAAGTTCAATGATAAATTGTACCTATCAGAATGTAAATAGTGATATTTTTATACGAGTTTTAGTACGAGTGCACTTGATAACCGTGCTTAGCCGTGTGATGGCAGCAAAAAGTGAGTGGAATTAATCTGTCAATGTGTTGGCAGGCTGGTTTACTTTTAACAAGTAATTTTAATTATTTTATTTAATACTTTGCACGTAACACTCATAGTAGAGGTGGGTTGTAGTGTGATATGTATTGTAACTTATCTATAAGCATTATATTTTACTCAATGCCAATATAAAGTGTGTAATCATTCCAACGCTATCCCTAAAGGGTGATACAGAAACAAAAACAGGGCAAGCTCCCTTGGTAGGTATTTTTAAATGTGTCCTGTGGAATCCGTTTTCCTTTGCAACAGGAGTCTTTTGTCTATTACTAAAAAATATCTGAACTGAAGTTCAAATTAATTTTAACATTGATATAGGTAATACACTTTTCAAATTACTTACGCACATTAAAGAAAACTGATAAATCTTTTCTATAAGTATTAAAGTATTTAAATTCAAATATATGTGCATGGGAAGTCACTAAGGTAAGCCGTATGTCAGAGGTCAACGGCCGGCAGGTGGTCAGCTGAGCGCTGACAGTCGGCCACGGAACCACGCATGCGTAGTCACTATGTTGTTATTAACTCAAATAAACAGCTTTTGGTGTGAATTTAACATTTGATACGAGATTTGTAATTTATCATAATATAAAGAAAAAATCACGAATACTATAGCCTAACAGAAAACCGGCGTTTTTTCACGCTTGTGTTGTGTTTCGTCGAATTGTTGAGGTTACCAGTTCTTTTCCTTTCTTTCCCAAATAGGACAGCAACGGAGTTGTTACTCCTCTAGTACTATGGGTATCCAAGAGCAGTATTTACTGTTATTTAATTAAGTCGCTGGAAAATAGCCAAAATTTGTTTAGATCAATAAGTATTTGTTCACAGAAGCTTAGTGCAAAGTTGAAAATACGTAGGTTATTATGTAATTTAGTTTTCTTAAACACCAACTCTTGAATTTTGAACTGATGAAATATCTTAGCCTTAAAATGCTGTTATTTAGCTTATCTTATAGATGGAAATGTAATGAAAGACGTTTAATAATCTGTTATGAAAGTAATTGCAATTATTCCCAATAATTAAGTTTTTATACAACTTACATTACACTCTTTATTAAACCTATACCGTTAAATAAACTTTATCTTAATTAGCAAAGCTGTTTAAGCAATTCGAAGAAACTCAGACACAGGGCTTGATATAAATATACCTATAGAAAATTTGTGTAAAAACGAATTGTGAAATTGATTGAAAGAGTAACCATGGAGTTTCTTGCTCGTCATGCTCCATTAGAATCTACACTTTGAATGAGCAAATAGCTTCACTAGAAGACAAAGCGACAGACTGAGACCACACAAAGTAGAACTTTCTGATACTTATTTTTTGTTTGACATTCAAAAGTGCATAGTTAGTAGTGGTCTATTTGAAATAAATTATTTGACTTTGACTTTGACTATAAGACAGTCATTCAGAACATTGCCACAATGTTAGTACTAATTTACTAAGCAGACAGAAACATTCGCGATTACATGACGTCATACTGACAAAATTTTATCAGTACGTTGGCAGCCAGTTTACCTGAACTGTGACGTCATCATGTATCTACTGATTACCAAGTTCGTGGTGGGAATAAGAAAATTGCTATTACTTGCTATTTTAACCTATAACTGATTAAGATAAGTCCCATACGAGTATTTAAGTAAAAAATTAAAGATAATGCATTTATTTTAAATAAGCCGTGTCCTCGTTTCGTCTATGTAGATTCGTAAGAAGGGATAAGCAGGTAGCCAGGAATAAAGTGCCTTTGTTTATAATACTATTACATAATAAAAAATTGAAGAATTTGTTTGATTGTTTGAACGCGCTAATCTCTAGACTTATTAGTTCGAATTCGAGGTTATTTGAGGTTCAATCCTCGTTTCCCACCACCAATCTCTAACCCTAATCCCAGAATGGCCGGCAACGCACACGTAATGCCCCTGGTACCTAATAATTACCATCAGGTAAAGAAGTATAGGATTTTTCTTGAACGGATGGATAGCCGATTGAGAAAACACGTTCAGTAAGTACACTGGAGTACCAGTTCACACAACCTAGGGTCAATTGTTGTGGGTCAGACGTGTTCTGACGCCGGCCACCTGACGGACACATGTACTACACGGCCTAACGGTCGGCCCTGCGCACACGCACGGCGCGCCAAGCATCCGTAATACCGTGCCGACCTGATAGACGTAACCGGGCCGTATTGATACTGCTACTTTATTTTCACGTACGTGTTTTGGATTTGTGTTATGTAGCGATGTAGCTTTGGTATTACTGTATAAGAAAATAAGATAGTTCATATTTATAAAATACTAGCTTTTGCCCGCGACTCCGGTCGCGTGGAATAGTGACTTTCTGTAGTTTTTTGGTATAAAAACTATGCTATGTCCTTTCCCGAGTTCCAAATTATGTCTGTACCAAATATCACAGAAATCGGTTCAGTAGTTTAGGCGTGAACAAAATACAGACAGACGGAGTTAATTTCGCATTTATAATATTAGATTGGACTAGCGGCCCGCCCATTTGATGTCAAACAATTTTTCTGAAATCTTCTTCCATAATAACCTTCTCCTGACAATAACAAATACTACAAAAGAAGAAACAGACGTTGTTGAGTTTTGCGCTAACCAATATATTTTTATATATAAAGTTAATATTTGCACAGTTTTAATACCTACACAAATGTGGTAAAACATAATCCTATTGTCAATTATACGAATGATCCAACTTACACCAACAAAATTCGAAATAAAAAATGGAATAGAAGAATTTAAGCCGTAAATTTTATTGGCACTTGAAAGCAAT